CCTTTCTCAGGAAGATGCCTCTCAGCTAGTCATGGATTATTGCAGTGTTATTCACTTCCATCAAATAGAAGTATCTAGATATGACTGTGCTCAACTAATATTTGTGCCTTGGTTTAAAATGGCAGATGACAGCTGTTAGTTTGCCATTTTTTCACCAAGTAAACAGTATATTTTCTGCCCATTATTGCAACTCCCATTGAACTGTATGAGAAGGGAGGAGAGAATATCTTGCCTGCAGCTGAGTCTCCTGTCAGGTCCATTGTGTGGAAATGGCTGAAACATGAGGAAGGAGGAAGAGAGACAAGGCTGGGCAGTGAGGTAAGGTACAGGAGCAGTGTCTTCCCCCAACCTTCAAGGAGGCTTTGAAAGTCATGTAGTCATGAAAATATTTTACATGATTTTTTGGATGTGGGGAAGAGGTAGCCTTTTCCCAACGGAAAGACATTGACAACTTGAAGAATAAATTAAACAAGCCAAATGAGGCACTCCCTGTGGTTGTTTGTATCAGACATGGGTCTGCAGTAAGAGGGTGTTCTCAGCTCCCCAGGAGCTGGGACTTCCCAGCACCTCTTTAGGTCAGCTGATCTGTGTGGGCTCTCAGGCCTTGCCTTGAAAGTAGCTTCCAATTTGCACCAGCGCAGCCTTTCTGCTGATCCTTGTGTCAGAGGCACCAGGCCATCCTCTTTGGCTGACTGCCAGACACTCACAGTGGAGTGGCAGTGGGGCCCTGCCCAGCTTGCCCTGGTTCCCCTCCCCCCCACACTGCCCAGGACCCCCACAAGCCCACCCAGTCTCTGGGGCTCCTTAAGGGCAGCTTGGCTCATTCCGCCCAAGAACACATGGCTTCCAGGACTTCCCAGGGGCAGCTTGAACATCCTCCTTACCCTCAAGCCTGCCCACCCTCTGCCCCTGCCCCCTAGGGGCTACCAAACCCCCCTAACCTCACTTGGATCCAAGTCCTCCCAGCCATGTCCCTTTGCCATTCCCTGTCCCTGCACTGTCTCTGTGTCCCTTAATATAGCCCCATGACAGCCCACCGCAAGTTCCTTCTGAGCCCAGGCCTCTGTAAGGTGTGAGGGCACACCTTGCTGGGACGGGAGGCTGCTTTCAGGGCCTTAATGACGCTGACCAGCCTCACCAGGGACCCTTACCCCACACCCTGCCTGTACGCCCCCCTTCAGCTCAAGCCTTATCACCCAGTCCCTGCC